TAAATGCTCCCACATCAAGATGACACGATGTGATTTAACGGAAGCACTGTTCAAATCAGCGTTAAATCAAACTCACTCACTCTCCATGTGATTGGGGGCAGTGGGTAGCCTAGTGGTTAAAGCGTTAACTTGTCACGCCAAAGACCATGGTTCGATTCCCCACATGGGTAAATGTGTGAAGCCCATTTCTGGTGTCCCGTAGCATGATATTGCTGGAATATTGCTGAAAGCACAGTAAAACCATACTGTCTCACTCCCTCTCGATGCGATTGATATGAACACTTCATAGATCAGCATCGTGATGAATGAGAACACTGGACGAGTGTTTACTTTGTACGTTTATTCTTTGCTCATAACTGCATCACCCTTACAAACTTTAACGACAGGTAGAACAGAAACGGTTGGACTATATATAGTGCCATTTCCATCATTTTGCCAGCTAATATTGATATGCACACGCCTTTATTGTCAGACGATCTCATATGAATATTTTATATGGCGGAAATCGATGTAGAAATGCTGTGATTTTCTTCCTGTCTCTTTGAGAAGAGATTCAATGATGTACAGTGATAGAAACAGTTTTAGTCCACTAGTCCTTATAATGATAACATATAGCAAAACCCCTAAAAAGGGCAATTTTCTATAAGTCCTTAGGATACCTTAATTATTGGGCAGTTGGACAAGAGCTACAGGACTAGTGCCAATTTCTAACACTGATGTACATCAGTTCGCTTCGGAAAGATGGATACATCTGACTTCTGTATTTATGCATGCAGTTCTTCTTGAATTATATCATGTGTGATTTTTGAATATCAGATTCCTCAAGTGTTTTAAACCCTTTTCTGAGGTGATCGATGCCTTGTATTGATATACCGTATTCGCTGTATTAAGCGTCCTGCTCCAATAAGCGCCCCTTACCAACTTCTAGATCAACCTGTCTGTAAGTAATCTGTATCAACACCCGTGCTAAGACAGAAAATTTACATGACAGTCTGCACTTTCTTGTGTATATTACAGATTTTTTTATACAAATTTGAAGTTTAGCAGGGTTATATGATAACCTTGTAACTATTATCAACAATGTGTTGAACCAGCTTTGTTCACTACTGCTCGGGACCTGTGAAGATCCGGGTAGAACAGGTCTACAGCAACCCATGCTTGCCGTAAAAGGCGACTGTACGTGTCGTAAGAGGCGACTAATGGGATCGGGTGACTTGGTTGAAGCATGTCATCGATCCCAATTGAGTGGATCGATGCTTATGATATCAATCACTGGATTGTCTGGTCCAGACTTGATTATTTACAGACTGCCGTCATATAGCTGGAATATTGCTGAGTGCGGCGTAGAACAACAAACCAACCACTACTGCCTGACTTCTTGACAAAAAAAAGGAGTAACTTTCAGTGTATGGGTTTAAAAACTGCCACCCTTTTTCAATATTGTAAGTGAAAGAGGGCAGTAAATATGGTACAACATTTGCAACAAAATAGGATGGAGGTTTCCATATATTATTGGTATAGAATAAAAGTCAAGTGGCCCTAATAGTGAGAACGCTGACCTGTTTGTTCCAAGTTCTACTATAGCCCCGAGGATACTTGTAAAATTAGGCAAATTTGCTCTGGCCAGTGCTAATTTCTATCCCAGCAGGTTGGTGCATCCAAATTAGATTAACATTGTCAATGTCTCATGTTACAAGCTTTTGTCATATTTGTGTCCACATAATTATAGTTGTCATATTGTTCTTCAGGACAGCTACTCTTTATAGAAAACCCGTGAAGATCCGTGTTGGAATCGGTCTTTAGCAACCCATGCTTGGTGACTGTACTTGTCGCAAGAGCAACACACAGGATCAGGGGTCAGGCTCACTGACTTGATTGATGCATGTCATCATATCCCAATTGCGTAGATCGATGCTCATAATGTTAATCTATGGATTGTCTGGTCCAGAATCCATTATTTAGGGACTGCCATCATATAGCTGGAATATATTGCTGTGTGCGACGTTAAGCAACAATCAAACAATCTTTATTAAAAAAAACTAATAAAACCCCAACAAGTAACATGTAAAATGTTGATTTGCAAAAGCTGATTTTGGATAATTTGGATGTTTTTTTAATATTTGAACATGAGTAGAAATAGATGCTGTTTTTTATGATTTATGCATGAACTAAGCAGAACCAAGGGGCCTAAACAAGGCCTTGTTGGTTCGGAGTCAGCATACTATCTGAGTGGGGTATCCATGATAAACTGTGGCATGGTGTCTCAGTGGGCTAGCACTATAAAACCGGCATACGTTAGGATAGTTACAAGCACACGCACATGCACATGCACACACACACACACACACGCATGCACGCACGCATGCACACACGCACGCACGCATGCATGCACGTGCAATAGTCTCGCCTCACCTCACCTCACCTCACCTCACCTCACCTCACCTCACCTCACCTCACCAGTGTTTGACATTAGAGGAGGTCCTGCAATCCTTGAGGTTTTCTGCTTTAGTATTAGAATCATCCCGAAAGTTTTGATTACAGGCTTAATTTTGACCAGTGCATTCCAATATTTTAAGTTTCACGTAACTTTAAATATAATTTGCCATTTCTAGGGGGCCAAAACCGACTGTATCAACCCCTTACTCCTATGTTTAAGATGTAGTTTCAGCCTGAGCAAGACCTCCTCCTTGGTCTTGTGGTGGAGCGTCCGACCGGAGAGCGGAAGGTCCGGGGTTCGATCCCTGTCCGCATCATACCTAAAGACGTTAAAAGATGGTTACCCTGTCTGGCACTCGGCATTAAGGGGCTAAAACAAGGACTGGTCGGCTAGGAGTCAGTATACTGAGTGGGGTATTCATGTTAAACTGTGGCATGGTATCTGAGCTAGCACTATAAATCGGCATCAGTCCAGACTAGTACAAGCAGCCACACACAAGTGCATGCACGTCGCTATATAAGTGCAATAATCTTGGACGTGACATTAAACCCAATTTCACCTCACCTCAGCCTGTGCCAAAAACGTTTGAGTCTACAAGCCCCAACATGGTTCTCAACATTTCTTTCAATAGAGTTCACTGTTATTATATGGACTATTTTTAGCTGAGCTTACTAGACTGAACATACATTTACTAGACTCGGGCTTCGGACTAGTGGCTCAAGTCACAGACTGTAGCTGTCTTTTAAAATAATAAAAGTGAGGTTATGAAATGTGACCTTAAAGTCATCCTGGTCAAAAGGAGTCGCAATATTTCTTTCTCACTGAAATTGCCATTCGATACAGAAATAGATTGTGCATAGATCCATCGGTCCATCGTCTTTGGTCAGAACAAGTCATCACAACATCTGCAGGGTACTTTACTCAAGCGGTGAAGTGAACTGTTTGTGATTCTTTCGAAACATTAAAGATCTTTCGTTATCTGCTATGTAATTGCACTGATTGAAATCAAGTCCTGAGTCCTTAAGGTTTGCTCTGATAGTGTATGAATCAGAGACCCCCTAAATCTTTTACTTTGAGGATAAGAGCAATGACAATACCCCTTGACTTTAATGCTTAATTTCAAACACTAAAATGCAGGCCTACATTTTCAACACTGTGGTTACAAATATGCCTGATAGAAATGATACATTCCTTTATTTGCCTTGTCAAGCTAACACACCACATTGCCCTATTAAATTTACTGTTTTGAACTTGTTCTCCTTTTTCAAAATATAAACATTTGATGGTGACAATTTTTAAAAAGGAAAGTGCAGATGGGCTTATTTTTCCATTAGTTACTGATACAGCATAAAAGAGAGCTATTAGCTTTGTGAAACTGCAGGCGCACAAACCTGTCCGGGGATAACATCACCCTCACATCACCTACTGTGAATATGCTGCTTAATGTGAAATTAAGGCTGCTCATTGTGAAGCCATACGATGAACTCTCCACCATATTAAAACTGCAACAATGACACAACAAAAAGAATGTGAACTATTTTTAAGCCCTGAGCATGAGTTCATATGATTTAACCTAAAAAAGTATTAAAGGATAAGCTTCAATATATGCACCATGTTCAGTGATACGTATCGCATATATTACACCTATTTTATTAACTCATTCACCTTCTTCAAGCAAGCATAAAACTGTGCAATTGATGACGCAGAGGTGAACAGGGACAAAACAAGACGGGTGTACGCCCACTCCCGAGAAGCGACTTCACATGTTGCCTGTGACAGGGATCTACCCCCTGCTGCCGACGGTCATTCACGACAACCAAAGCTGTTGTCTTGCATTAAGCTCTCCTGATTGTATAGCTGTGGAAAGATGGCAGCATTTGTTAAAAACTGTACTTGCTTGCCCTGCCCAGAAGGCAAGAAGCAAAGCCTGCTTGCTGTATTGATGGTTGTATGTAAAAGTTGGCCCTCAATCTATAAGCTTAGCATTGATCTGAGCTGTCACTCTCTGACAGATCATACACTTCAATTGAAAACCTGAAAAGGTTTGACTGAATGTTTGCTCTAGCTGGCTATGCATTTCTAGCATACTCTGAGGCGGGACCATACAGGACACTTGCTTTATGTGTAAGTAAAGTGATTATATCGGCCGCGGAAGGACATCAATATCTAACATGACGGTTGATGCGCCCTGGCTTCTACCTGAAAGGGGTAGGGAATTGTTTTGAGTTAATGGATGCTTTGTTGCCCTGGTAACCATTCATTTAGAACAAGGAACATGCTTAAACAGGTTTAGAGGCTTAGCGAGTGTTGGAGAGAGTAGATGAAACAGTCGGTAAGCGATAACTGTCCGTGCTGCCTGCCTCAGCCATTTCATTTGTAATGAGTGTATTCTATCAATATTGAGTCAGGCTTGCTGAGGCAAATACTACAAGATTGTCCATAGCGCTAAAGCTTGTCTGTTATGTAACCAGATTGAGGACATTAGTGGAATATGTAACATGTATGAATAGAGTACATTTGGTAGCTTTTGTGGCAAGGATTTGGCTTTCATGCTTGGTTATTAACAAAGCTGGATTGAGAAAACAATAGCAGTCGTTGCTGTTGTGGTGGTTGTCTTAGCAGCTAAGGCAGAACCCTGAAGTCAAGGTCCCTACATATTTAATTGCTATGGCAAGACTAGGTTTGGATGGGGCAATCCCATGTGCTGCGTTGGACTGTTGTACCCAGGACGTTGCTAGCCTCCTCGGTTTAATCTCTTTATAAATACTGGTCAACAGAGCCATATGAAAGAGCATTGGTCTTCTACATTCATCATCTGATTGAGCAGGCAACAACAATAGCTCACTCTGCCTTGGGAGGTTTCTTTCAAAGCAACCTGTTCCATGCAACCACTGCCAGGTCTTGTACTGACCGACCACTGCGCATTTCTCAAGATCACCTCTATAACTGTACATACACACCCTGGGCAATTCTGCATCCAAACGAGGAGTCTATGTCAAGCCATTAAAAAATATTGCCTCCGCTAATGTGTCTTCATTGGGGGCAGACGACACACGGTCTGCAGAAATGCCTTTGCTCTAGACCCAAGCTCGATGGGAGAAGTGGCTTGTGAACAGTCTTAAGCAGTTCGCCATTGAGGCGGGTTGCCATGTGACTCGAGGTCGATGTAGCGTAGCAGACGATCGCACAAATGAGCGGGCATTGACACATTCCGGAACATCAAAGCAGGGAGAGTATTGGATCATTGCCTCGCAGCTCCGTGGCTCTCCAGTGTCTCACAACTCACCAAGGTAAGCCTGGATATATGCCTCCATTCTCTGTCGGTACCTAACCTCCATCTCACAGTGACTAGGCTACTGTACAATTATATATATCTTCTGAAGAATGGACAGAATAGCTGCTGTCTTTGATGCTAATCTGGTCTCTGTTCTTACATGTCTAGGTCTGTGTTATATTAGTGGTACATGTTCCAACATAGCATAGGACAGATTGTGCGAGAATCTGGGATCTGACAAAACCTAACGAATGTATAAATTTACAGAATTCTTAAATATGTTTGCTGTTTTGACGATGTTTCCACTAATATCTGCATATGTGTCATGTCTGGTATCTTGATTTTAAAAATCCTGATATGTTAAAATATTTATATAAACATTGCTGCATTATCCTATTGGTCAATATCCTATTCAGCAAAGAGTCTAATGTTAAGGCGGTGAAGCCTCAATTATAATATCAATAGGGCATTCCGTCACAATACATCCCCTACCCATAATCCATCAATGTTATATTAAAGATATTTCCCCGATACTCTTCCTATGGTAATTAGCATGGATATTGCTCAACGTTTTCCTAGCGTTTATACTGCTGTGGTATTCAAGTGTTGAATGTTAATTAGCTGCGGTGAATATGGGTTATGGCGGGCTAGAGGTTACTGCACCAGCAGTTGTTATGGCATATATTAGCCTCCAGGGAAGATCTCATTGGATGAACTCATCCCTCCTTTCATATATTCCTTCCTTCCTTCCTCTACTTCAGGGAGGGCAATGACTTCGCCAACGTCGTGCTTGCACTAGGGCATGGGGTTTGGCGAAGTTAACTGCCTGCTGCTAAATTATAGTTATTGGGGAAAATTAACGAAATTATGTGTCCTTTTACGTGGGGAAAATGACTGGAAGCCGGGCTGTTGCTGTACAATTCAATTGTTCGAGATGGGTTTGGTGCTTTCTCGTTCAGCTGAGAGGTTTTCACATTTACTTTAATTAGGACTTGACCTAGTATTCATAATGGTTTAGGAATCTCTTTCTATGGCAAGCAGCATGTTGAAATGCTTTGCGTTGGGCTCAGTCTTGCTTTGTGAATAATAGTTTCTGGAGTTGAAAATAGTCATATCTCTAAGAAATATTTTCACCACAGAGCTGTCTGAAATTATTTTGGTGCTTGATAATCTCCGAGAGTGAGTCAGCCCTGTTTTTTATACCAGTCATTATTATTCATGCTATATGATAGGGTTCTTTTCATGACTCTTGGCCAGGGAAACCAGTGGTTGATAGTATGAGAAACAAATTTGACTGTCAGGGTAGTTTGACACAATATCCACCCAATTCTCATTTTGGTCAGTGTTTGGGACTGGAATAAAGGCATAAATTGTAAATTAATGAAAATATCTGTGCATACATTCAATTGATTTCGAGCATGAAAAAATAGAGTACTTTTAGAAGCATGTATGTGAAAGCTCAACTCAACAACAGTGAGAATCTTTCCATAAGTAGTGACTTACTGTACAGTCATGCATGGCAGTCATTGTGTCCCAAACGTTTCTCTGTGTCATTTCTATACATTAGATCCTTGGGAAAGTAGCTCCAATGCCATTAAAAACATAATGTACCTGACTCATGGAAATACCACCGAATATGCAGCATTCCATGTCCAATGAAGGCTTTTGAGATGACAGTGTTTTGTGTGGAGTAAAACAGGAGCTGGGAGAGCTCTCCTTGGCTCATTGTGACAAGTGGATCCCTCACTCATCTGTCAGACTTCAAAGACAGGTGAGAAACTGACAACCCCTGGCCTTTCATCTTGACACAATACACCTGTGGACAGCTGGAAGAGATGTAGTGTAGGTGGCTGGTAGTGTGTAGACTGTCTGCCACTGTACACCTCCATGTACAGGCTTGTAGTGTGTACACCTGCCACTGTACACCTCCGTGTACAGGCTTGTAGTGTGTACACCTGCCACTGTACAGGCTTGTAGTGTGTACACCTGCCACTGTACACCTCCGTGTACAGGCTTGTAGTGTGTACACCTGCCACTGTACACCTCCATGTACAGGCTTGTAGTGTGTACACCTGCCACTGTACACCTCTGTGTACAGGCTTGTAGTGTGTACACCTGCCACTGTACACCTCCGTGTACAGGCTTGTAGTGTGTACACCTGCCACTGTACACCTCCGTGTACAGGCTTGTAGTGTGTACACCTGCCACTGTACACCTCCATGTACAGGCTTGTAGTGTGTACACCTGCCACTGTACACCTCTGTGTACAGGCTTGTAGTGTGTACACCTGCCACTGTACACCTCCGTGTACAGGCTTGTAGTGTGTACACCTGCCACTGTACACCTCCGTGTACAGGCTTGTAGTGTGTACACCTGCCACTGTACACCTCCATGTACAGGCTTGTAGTGTGTACACCTCCGTGTACAGGCTTGTAGTGTGTACACCTGCCACTGTACACCTCCGTGTACAGGCTTGTAGTGTGTACACCTGCCACTGTACACCTCCGTGTACAGGCTTGTAGTGTGTACACCTGCCACTGTACACCTCCATGTACAGGCTTGTAGTGTGTACACCTGCCACTGTACACCTCCGTGTACAGGCTTGTAGTGTGTACACCTGCCACTGTACACCTACAGTTAGGGTTGAATATAGCTATGGTCTAGTATTGGTATGTGGGCTGTTGGATTAGGGTGTCTGCCACTGTACACCTACAGTTAGGGTTGAATATAGCCATGGTCTAGTATATGTATGTGGGCTGCTGGATAGACATCTGTGTATCTCCAGATGGGGTACAGTCTTGGTAAAGGTTGGTGTTAGTTTGCTAGTGTGTCAGAAGCTACAGGATGAATATAAAGTGGAGATGTATTAAAGGCTTTGGAGAGAACCTTGCAAGTGTCATCAGAAAACATGACAGGTTTTGCTGAAGGCCATAAAACCACATTTATTTACTTTTGAATATCCTTGTGACCATAACAATGATAAATGACCATGTATGATGGATTAGAATCCAGGATGGAATAAAAAGAGTGTTCTTTCAGTCCACTTCTCACAGCCATATTACATCTATAATTCAACCTCTGGTGTCCCCCGCCGTGATATGGCTGGAATATTGCGAACAGCAGCTTTAAACCATACTCAATCACTCACTTACTCACTATAATTCAACCATGCTTCAGCTATTCAGCCATACAACAGCTTTGATTCAACCATATTTGGGATGTACTTCAACTAAACTTCAGCCATGCTTAAGCTATACTTCAGCCATACTTCAGATATACTTCAGCCATACTTCAGATATACTTCAGCCATACTTCAGATATACCTCTGTCATACCTCATCTATACTTGTTATGCTTCAGCCCTACTTCAGCAATACTTCAGCTGTTGGTAGTGCTGTGGAGGCTAGCTTGTAGTTCTGGAATGCAGTTTTGTTTGTATATGTCGGGCATCATGCTTGCATCCGGCACATTGTAATGAGATGCAAGGACATGCTCGCATGTTGTCCCTGTGTGTTCATTGATTCCTCACCATTAGCTGAGTTATTGTAGTGTTGCGTTTGTTTGTAGTCAGATATTCATATCTAAGTGTTTATACTAAAGGAAAAATAAATATTCGAATCCAGCATCAGAAATATTACTGTTTCTAATATTGCAGTCTGATGAGCTTTTTGTTCCATATACCAACACCAACATCCATATTCATATCATGCCATGAATATTCCACTCTTTGTGGGATGTGTTTGCACAGCAGAAAACACATGGAATTTCTGGTTATTCAAATCAAAATTGCTTTCTTCTGTAAGTGGTGGCGACTTGAAAGAGATATGATCCTACAGGGGGGAACTGAGATTTGGGGTTGAAGAGCGCGGTTGACACTTATCTGATGATCATACACCGGGGTTGATCCCCAAACACGATACCACTTATATATGTGTTCTGCTCACTATAACACCACTATGCCATTATAGGACATATTTGATGTGGCAGGGGCTTGTGGTGGGCTCCATATTTACAGAATATTCTCACAGCCTTGATGAGGGAAATAATGAATGTAGTGTCAGTGCTGGTTGACTTGGTTGTGTGGACTCTGATGTCGGAATAAATGGTGTTCCGTGGTCAGGACAAGATGGGCTTTTATTGGAAGGAAATGAATTTGTAATGTAAAAATAATGGTTGATTTTAATTTAATGGATTTAAGAATTGGTAGGCTATATGTAATGTAATCTTTATAGAAAACTTAACTGGAATGTTTAAGAATAATCATATTTGATAAAAGTGTTAGTTACCAAAATGTTGATAAGCACTTAAAATAATGATTTTAATATAGTTTGTTGTGTTGCAAGTGTTTATTAAGTTAAACTGTTCACATCATCACTACAGCAAAGACTTCGAACTATTAAATTCAAGTCTTCACAAGTTCTGATTGATTTATATGATCATGCACTTCCAGCTTTAAATGTACATAAAAGAATTTATGAAAATATAATTCTTTAACTGTCTAGGAGAATAATCCAATGTGTGTGAGTGTGTATCAAGTTGCCCCGATACCTCCATTGTCTTGTGTGGCCTATAGAATGTCACGTCCTTAATGCCGCTGTTGTGGCCAGCCCTTTCAGTTTTTTTATGGCCAGTGACTTAGAACTGGCCATTTGTTCCAGGACGTCAGTCAGTGCAGTTGAGCTTCGTTTACACAGTAAATCATTCCACATGATCAGCTAGAGTCACATCACCCATTGTCATGATGTCCGTTACCAGAAATCTGTTAGTTTGCCTTTGAGGTCATATCCAGCTTCATAGTCCCTGCCCTCAACCATACACTGACCCTTCCCTGCCTTCCCACCCCTAAGCTAACCCTTTCTCACTGTCCAACCTCTCCCCTAAACCTGAACCTATCACACCTTAAAGTGACCCTCCCTCCCACCCTGCTACAGGGCATGACTCTCCCTCCCACCCTGCTGCAGGGTATGACCCTTTCTCCCACCCTGCTACAGGGTATGACCCTCCCTCCCACCCTGCT